TGAAGGACAAAAGATATTAATTGTAATATAATTGCTTTATAAAAATTGCTGTATAAAACGAAATGTTCATAAATATTTAAAGATTGTAGGCAATTGCTCTCAAGAAGTCGATTCTGGGCTACTCCTCATTCTCAATGACAGACTTCAGTTTGTGTTAAATATCTGGTACTTCTTCGGTTTCCTCAATACCATTCCTGCTGCTGCCTGCTCACAACTCCCAGTCCAACTGCTCTTTTCTTAGTTTTGAAACGAGACGGCAAACGGTGGGGCGGGTGATTGCCATTCTCTGCTCAAACCCCTTGTGCTATCCTTCAAGAGAGTTTGTTGTCCGTGGAAGGCCTTGTGTGTTTCTTTCCAATATGTTCCACAGCCTGAGTTCGAATGCTGGTCTTCGTCGTCTTCCACGCTGTACAACACCAATCGATGTCGCTTCAAAGTAGCCAAGAAACTCAGATAGAAGTTCATCAGTTTCATCATCTAGTGCTGTAACAAATTCATTGAAGCTTTCAGCAACGTTACTGACTGGCACAATGCTTGAACGGACTTGACGGTGAGTGCATTTCTTGGGTCATTATACCAAGTCTGTAGTCCTAAGCCCTGTATTTGTCTTCACAAGCACTGCCCGAAATGGAAAAAACATCCAAAAATGTTTCTGTTTGGGAAACATGCTGTGATGCTATTAAGAGCCGCTCTTTCATAGTCAATGGTGACTGAAACAGGATTGAGATCTAGTCTCACTTGCTTGATGGTGCTAAAATTCAAGTCATAAGTTGCTTGGTTTTTGTTCCTTGCGATGCAGTATACCAAGGGAATTGTGTGGCTCTCATACATAACATGCACTGTATATAACTAAAGCCTACTGGCGCAGAATCGAATGTCCCATCACACAGCCAGTGGTCTTTGAAAGCAAGAAGCTGTAAGTTTCGAGGTGTTGACAGAATTAGCAGGTTGTCACTTTCATGGATGACAAAGTCTTCTCCTCTAATTGATTTCCGTAAGTCGTCAGTTAAAAAGTCCCCGTCTGGTGCCATGCGTTGTCTGCACACCATTCTTGCCAAAGTTTCTTTCTCAGGAAGAGCACCTGCAGCATCAAGTGGGTATTCACTGGTGCAGTTTTGTATAATAGTCGATGTCACTTCCTCCGACTGTCTGGCTCTTTCTTTAATTTTCTTTACTGTTTTCAAGGACAGGTTACGCCCGGCATCAGGCAGATGTGAGTGATTACTTGCTTCTCCTTGAATAACGTCTTCTTCTGTTTTTAATCGTCTCCAACAACTTCCTTTGCTTTCACATCGCCAATATATTACAGTGTCTTTCCGTTTATCAACGATGTAGGCGTAGCCGTCAAGCAAAAGCCTTCTACCTCCTCTTGTCGTTGGTATGAATCCCATGGTCTTAAAAGAAACAAACATTAAATAAAGTAATAATAATAATAATAATAATAATAATAATAATAATAATAATAATAATAATGATGATGATGATGATGATGATGATGATGATGATGAAAACATCGGCTAACCTTCACAACCTCTGAAAAGCGACTGCATCAGAGTCCAGGCAAGCAGGGCTAACGTTTGGTTGGTTTGGGGCGTGGCTAAAAAGTTCGAACAAACATTCTTTCAAAAACTTGACCTGACTTAACATGACTAGATACGTCGCCTTTTCTTTTGTGTTTGTGGTGGTATTGGTGGGTGGATTAGCGGATGTCATGTTTTTGACCTGACCTCATGTTTTGTAAGGTCACCCTGTGTACATAAACCTCTCTCAGTTCTTGTAATTCACTAATTAAATTGAAATTGGGGAAAATAATGCTAATTGTTTTCGAATAATGCTGATTATTTCCGACGACTGCCGGATAATAAACACAAGACTGAAGCAATTTTTATAAAGAAATTACATTACAATTAATATATTTTATCCTTTGGTAAATGTGCAAAAAATACATTACAAAGAAGAAAGGAAAATAAAAAAAAATTAAAAAGGCCATATGTCCATTCGGCCAATTGTCCGTTCGGCCATTTATCCGTTCGGTCTATTGTCCGTTCGGTCTATTATCCGTTCGGTCTATTGTCCGTTCGGCCAAATGCCCGTCGGCTCGATGTCCGTTCGGTCAAATGTCCGTCTGTCGGTCAAATGCCCTTTGGCCATCTGTCCGGCCACACTTTTCAGTTAGCCTATGTAGAATACATTGGCGGATGGCAAAGCAAATCTCCATAATGCGGTTTCTCTCCATAGCAGGCTTACTCTTCCAGAAGAAGGTATAGCCAGACCCCTGTTCTCTGAGCCGACCCTCCTCTGGGAGCCGGGACTCACTAATGGCTGCTATGTCGACGTTAAACCTATGACTCAGGGTGGTTCTTCTTTCAGAATGCTCATTTGTGCCAGTATCCAGAAGGGTCCTGACATTCCATGCAGTGACCCCAAGAGGTTGTATATTTTGTTTTTGTTTTGATCTGTCATTATGATTGTGTTTTCAACCGCATAAGGATGACCATACTGTGTGCGGTTGCCCAGTCAACTTGGTTCTTTTGGCAGGCTATGTTTAGGGCACATTTTCTAGCCCCTTCCCCATGTGGGGTGAGCAGAGTGGCCCCCTCGAAAGGGCTCCTCATTCCCACAGACAGGACCGGGTTACACGGCTGCCTAGATCCAAGTGCATAAACGACCATCTTATCTGTGCCGCCCATGTACAGAGTTGTGACTAGAGACTCCCGGCAGTCATCTCTGCCTGTCCCCGTCACCACTCGTCCGTCGCCATAGGGGTTTTGATAATGATGAAAAGTATGATGAACTGGATGATGACTGCAAGTGAGTTGATTTATGTGGTGAGGCAGGAGCGCAGGCTGCTACCACACATCTTGGCTCTCCCTTATCCTGATCCAGTGGTGCAACAAACTGCAACGACTAGGTAGAGGGAGAGTTGCAATGGACTGCCGATAGCCCAGTTTGTTGGATTTCTCCTATTTTGCCGTTGGGGTCTTACTGGAGCTTTGTAAGCATGTCTGCCTGATGCTGGGCTCCACCACAGATATTTCATTTGAGGTTTACTCCCATAGCCTTACACTTACCAAGGTTAAGCCGCAAGGCAGCGGAGCAGTTGGTGGTAGGCACCTGGGCGTGTCCACATGCCGGTGGGCATATGCACCGTCCCTCTAGGTCCCACTGCTGCTCTGAGATCCCCTGCTGGTCTAGCCTGGGGCTGCGAGACACCCAGTTACCGAGTGTTGCCACGAGGAGGCGCAGCAAAGGTCTTGATCGTGAAGAGGTTGTGTACTGACAGGGGAAGACTTACGCAAGGTTGCTTCCCTGTTTGGCACGAAGGCTAGCCAGCGGCGGTATGAAGCGAGTGGAAGCAAGCAGTGCCTGCATTTTAACATAAGGTTGCCACACGAGACTCGTTACACCACCCTGCGTACACACACACACACAGTCTCTGAAAAGTTAAAGGGTATGAACTAATAAGAGGATTTGATTTTAAAATTAAAACGTTCACTTGAAGTTTCCGACAAGAAAAAAAATTGACTTTATACTTGAGACATACTGAAGAGTTTGGTAAGAGTAAAGGGTAAAGGTCTTAACTTTAAATCTACTTATAAAATGATGTAGCATACTTATGGTATGCCGTACTTTTATGCCGATATAGCAGGGCTTTGTTTATTGATGCATCTATTCATATATTTATTTGTTTACCGATATTGTTTCTTTACTTGTGTATTTGCTAACTCTAACTACTAAATGTCTCTCTCTCTCTCTCTCTCTCTCTCTCTCTCTCTCTCTCTCTCTCTCTCTCTCTCTCTCTCTCTCTCTCTCGTGATTAACATAGTTTCTACAGAATAATATAGTTTCTACAGGTGATTGAGATGGTTTCTACAGGTGATTAAAATGGTTTCTACAGGTGATTCACATGGTTTCTACAGATTAACATAGTTTCTACAGATTAACATAGTTTCTACAGATGATTAACATGGTTCCTACAGATTAACATAGTTTCTACAGATGATTACCATGGTTTCTACAGGTGATTCACATGGTTTCTACAGGTGATTCACATAGTTTCTACAGATTAACATAGTTTCTAAGATGATTACCATGGTTTCTACAGGTGATTAATATAGTTTCTACAGATGATTAACATGGTTTCTACAGGTTAATTACACTTCTCTTTTATATGAATATCCCTAACACATAGATTACGGCATCATTACTGTAATACCGTTATTATATCACTATTACTTTACACTTACTTATCATAAATGTTTAATATTAACTGTATTCCTGCTGTTTTTTACTTCATATATCTAGATTTATGGCAACACTTCTATGGCAACCGTCACCCTATGGCAACTGTCACCCTATGGCAACTGTCACCCTATGGCAACTGTCACCCTATGGCAACTGTCACCCTATGGCAACTGTCACCCTATGGCAACTGTCACCCTATGGCAACTGTCACCCTATGGCAACTGTCACCCTATGGCAACTGTCACCCTATGGCAACTGTCACCCTATGGCAACTGTCACCCTATGGCAACTGTCACCCTATGGCAACTGTCACCCTATGGCAACTGTCACCCTATGGCAACTGTCACCCTATGTCAACTGTCACCCTATGTCAACTGTACTCCTAATGGTCTCTTGTGTCGTAATTTGGTCATGGCACTACATTCATGAAGCCTCTGCCACATTTAAAGACGAGAACTCATTTCCGAATGAACTTTTTGAATCAGGACCTTAAATGTTACACCGTATAGCCCCAGGTTGGTAGTGTCTCGTATAGTTATCTCAAGCTGTTATCTCTCCTCTTTTAACTATATTCTGATATCTCATCTCTTGACCTCGTCCTGACATCTTGCTCCATAGTCTCAATCTGATATCTGACTTCTTGACCTCGACCTGACATCTCGATCCCATAGTCTCACTCTGGCATCTGACTTCTTGACCAAAACCTGACATCTCGCCTCATAGTTGCAATCTGACATCTTCTCGTATGCTTACAGCTGGTTGGTCCTCAGTTCTTGCAAGCCATCAAGCCAGCCCTGGAGGATCAGTGGACGGAGGAGGTTGAGGTGGCTTGGGGCCTCCTCATGATGAACATTGCCTACGTCATGAAGACCGCCATGAAGAAAGAGATGATGAAGTAGATGCAGACGGTGAAGGAGGTGAGGAAGTAGACGGTGAAGGAGATGATGAAGTAGACGGTGAAGGAGGTGATGTAGTAGATGGAGACGGTGAAGGAAGTGATGAAGTAGACGGTGAAGGAGGTGATGAAATAGACGGTGAAGGAGGTGATGTAGTAGATGGAGACGGTGAAGGAAGTGATGAAGTAGACGGTGAAGGAGGTGATGAAGTAGACGGTGAAGGAAGTGATGAAGTAGATGGAGACGGTGAAGGAAGTGATGAAGTAGACGGTGAAGGAGGTGACGAAGTAGATGAAGAAGGTAAAGTAGACGAAAGGAATTAAATAGACGGAGAGGATAAAGTAGATCGGGGTAATGAAGATGAGAAAAGTGAGAGATTTGTTGTTTCCAGTTAGACAGTGCAGAGTGATAGTGTCGTAAGTCTGTGAGGTGACAATTGCATCCTCCTGACAGTACCCGTAAGCGCCAACATTGATGGATCCCTTGGTGAGGTGAAGAAAAAAAAATGCCCTGCAATTGATAATTTTGCAAAATGGATTTAAGAACGAAAGCTTTGTCCAGAAAACTTTCGTGGGTAAGAATTTTTCGCCAACTAGCCCTCAAAGGGTTAGAGATACGCCTCTAATGAAGTGAGAACTGCTTTCTATGTGGTTGAACTCTTCTCAGCTAACTCGTGTTGGGTGTTCTTGCCGGAGTTCAATTTGGTGAATTTAAAACTGTTTTTTTCTAGGTGAGGATTCTTCCCAGTAAGGCCTCAAAGGACAACAGTACTCTTTTATGTTTTGAAGCTAGAACCATATACAGTATACTGACAAGCCCCCTAAAGGTTGGTGGTTTCGACTGATGTCTTTGTGAATGGTGGATTAGTTTAGTGACTAGGATCTCGTAAGTCATATTTTAAGGAGACTGGCTGTAAGAGTAGTGTCCCTCTCTATCTTGCTCATTGATGGACAGAAAACTTGTGAACAACCTTACCTATGGTGCCTGTGTTAAACTCTACAGACAAGACTGATGAACAGCCAACAGATAGACAGAAAAGAATTAAACAAGACTGTGTAGGAGAAAGGGGTAGTGACTTAGGCTCAAGTCTCAGGTGAAGATGATAAAAATAAAGTATGACAGAGATGACCTAACTGGTCCTCTGCGGGTGTGAGTAGTGTGATAGTGATGGTGACAAAGAGTCGACCAAACTAAAAATTGGATTTGAAGAAAACGGAGAAACAGGATGAGTAAAACACCGTGAAGTATAAAAGAACGTTCCTTACTGGTAGCACAGATAAGCTGATGTGTCTGTACCAAACAAGTCAACACTTTCCACTGTGTTAAAGATCATAGAGAGTATTAGAATCAGTTACATGTGTAGAAAACAAACCATAAAAGATAGAAGAACTATAAACTGTTTGTTGTACACGTAAACAATGACAGATTTATATATATAAATACATAGTGTTGTTGTATATACCATTGATATTACTCCTCACACCAACACATTATACAGCTTTGTACTGTATGTCATGCTCATATTTTATCGTATTTGCCTCTTATGATCAGTGTGGTCAGCAGGTGGTTAACACTGAGAGCAAGTCACCTTTCACTCATTATCAGGTGAGGTAGTGGCAGGTATTACACCACTGGAGGAGGCGAGTGACTGTTTGTTGCTTTCTGTGTGATGCCTTGGTGCTGTAACGGAGCTTAGATACTCTCTCTCTCTCTCTCTCTCTCTCTCTCTCGTGAGGCCTGATCAATACACCAGTTCCGAATCCACTTTCTAGGGAAGTGAACACGGTTAATAAATAGACAGAAATGGATAGATAGATAGAGTTTGATTAAGACGTAGTTAGACTGATGGATAAAGACAGATATAAATAGATAAACAAATAGATAGATTGAAAGATAGATATTGAATAAATACCTGATAGATAAATGAATGGACAGATAGACATAGGAGACACGCTTGGAATGACTCTCGGTAGCCTGAGTGTCACCCCTGACAACGCTCACGACGGTGCGGCAGAAGCGGGGACAAAATATTTGCCCCTCCACTAGTTATGACTCATTGAAGGAGAAGACCAGCAGTTATTGAGCCGCTGAAGAACTGACAGTGTGATCATAGAAAAGAATCCACGTTTGAAATAAAGGAATTATGAGTATAGGAGGTCACCACAGGTAGTAGGAAGGGTCATGGAATTATGGGAGGTCACCACAGGTAGTAGGAAGGGTCATGGAATTATAGGAGGTCACCACAGATAGTAGGAAGGGTTATGGAATTATGGGAGGTCACCACAGGTAGTAGGAAGGGTCATGGAATTATAGGAGGTCACCACAGGTAGTAGGAAGGGTCATGGAATTATGGGAGGTTACCACAGGTAGTAGGAAGGGTCATGGAATTATGGGAGGTTAGTAGGAAGGGTCATGGAATTATGGGAGGTTACCACAGGTAGTAGGAAGGGTCATGGAATTATGGGAGGTTACCACAGGTAGTAGGAAGGGTCATGGAATTATGGGAGGTCACCACAGGTAGTAGGAAGGGTCATGGAAGTATGGGAGGTCACCACAGGTAGTAGGAAGGGTCATGGAATTATGGGAGGTCACCACAGGTAGTAGGGATGGTCATGGAAGTATGGTAGGTCACCACAGGTAGTAGGAAGGGTCATGGAAGTATGGTGGGTCACCACAGGTAGTAGGGATGGTCATGGAAGTATGGTAGGTCACCATAGGTAGCATGGAAGTATGGAGGTCAGGTAGTAGGAAGGGTCATGAAATTATAGGAGTCACACAGGTAGGTGGTCACACCACAGGTAGTAGGGGGTCATGGAAGTATGGTAGGTCACCACAGGTAGTAGGAAGGGGTAGTAGGAAGGGTCATGGAAGTATGGTAGGTCACCACAGGTAGTAGGAAGGGTCATGGAAGTATGGTAGGTCACCACAGGTAGTAGGGATGGTCATGGAAGTATGGTAGGTCACGACAGGTAGTAGGGATGGTCATGGAAGTATGGTAGGTCACCATAGGTAGTAGGGATGGTCATGGAAGTATGGTAGGTCACCACAGGTAGTAGGAAGGGTCATGGAAGTATGGTAGGTCACCACAGGTAGTAGGGATGGTCATGGAAGTATGGGAGGTCACCATAGGTAGTAGGAAAGGCCATGGAAGTATGGGAGGTCACTAGGGCTTGTAGTAAGGCCATTTCAATATTTGTAATAACGTTGACCTTAAATGACTTGACCTTCAACCACGTTCTTAGCTATTCTGACCTTGACCTGGTTAACTGTGACCTTGACCTGGTCCACTGTAACCCGGAACTGGTTCACCGTGACCTTGACCTGGTTCACTGTGACCTTGACCTGGTTCACCGTGACCCTGACCTGGTTCACTGTGACCCTGACCTGGTTCACTGTGACCTTGACCTGGTTCACTGTGACCCTGACCTGGTACACTGTGACCTTGACCATGGTTCACTGTGACCTTGACCTGTTTCACTGTGACCTTGATCTGGTTCACTGTGACCTTGACCTGGTTCATTGTGACCTTGACCTGGTTCACCGTGACCCTGACCTGGTTCACTGTGACCTTGACCTGGTTCACTGTGACCTTGACCTAATATGTATGTGTAGAGATTCATTAGCCCCCTTCGGTGAGTTAAGAATTTAGTGCATGTTTTGAATGTGTGTGTGTGTGTGTGTGTGGTTTTGCCTCTGTGTTTGCTCGTATGTATATGAATGTGTATTTATGTATGTGTGTGTGTGTGTGTGTGTGTGTGTGTGTGTGTGTGTGTGTGTGTGTTTTTGCCTCTGTGTTTGCTCGTATGTATATGAATGTGTGTGTGTGTGTGTGTGTGTGTGTGTGTGTGTGTGTGTGTGTGTGTGTGTGTGTGTGTGTTTTTGCCTGTGTTTGCTCGTATGTATATAAATGTATTTATGTGTGTGTGTGTGTGTGTGTGTCTTTGTATGTGCTTATACTGTATGTGTGTTGCGTGAATGAAGTGACTTAACCTACACCAGCTGTTATTCAGAACAATACGGGTATAGATATGTAGGTTTTTTCTCCTTATATAAATGATTTATTTTCCTTTATACAGAACATATTAACTCTTGTTCTGTGGTACAGTTTGATGCATAATGATTTGGGTTTAACACACAAACACATATACAGTATATATATATAATTTCCTTCTAGGATTATTATAACTTTTTAAACTGTTATTTCCTACTTTACATTATATTTAAGCTCCACAACCTGCTAAAAACAGCATCACGTCGCCTTCGTGATATAATTCTTGGATGTTACAGTGCGTCACCGGACATACACAAAGGATAACACTATATAACCTCAACCCTGTGTTTGTTGACGCCCTCCTGACGTGTACAGACTCAAGAGAGGTTTTCGCTAGCAATTTCGCACCAGAAAGCCAGAATTATGTGAGCTTCTCTGGGTATTTCTGGTGAGAATGGCCTCAGTCAGAGTGAGTTACAGCGGTAAAATTGCGTTATAGAGAAAATACCACGTGAGTTTAGAAGGATTTGTTTTAAGGTCACGTATGTGATTAAGTTAGTAAGTGACCAGAATATAATTTTATTCACGTTGTTTTTCATTTGCGCAATGTTGTGTTATTGCCCAGTGGTTCTACCTGCTGGTGTACCTCGTGAGTTGGTGATGACATACAGTAAATGTGTTGACGTCCACTAATAGGTGCAGCTGAGGTGTGTTGAAGGTGTAACTATCTTAGTATCACACACACACACAAGCAGCAGGTGTTATACTGTAATGTCAGGTGTTGCTCGATGTCTTGTTGTCAGGGGAGATGGTTAGAGCGTATTGAAGATGTGAGGGCGTCTCTTCCCCCCTTCTCCACACGTTATATTAAGGGTCTTGGTAGTGTCAAGGTACTGTACAGTTGCCTCCACACGAACGTACCACGGCCTGGGAATGTGTGAGGCCACAGATACGAAATATGGCAACGCAGCGCCTTAGTCGTGGGCGTGAAACCGTGGATTACTCTGTTTGTCGGTTGCCCATAGTTCAGTCCTACTCACTCCGTCTTGGCTACACAACAATGACGCATAACACTTGTTACAGGTCTCGTTTATCTGTTTACCTCCTTTAGTGTTTGTATGTTATGGCAGATGTTGATGAAATGTATCGGAATGGTGTGAAAGATATTCTAAAATAATTTTACATGAATTTTAAGGTGTAATATTATAATAAAAGGTAAGTGTTCTTATGTGTGTGTTACCAGGTCATTCATTCAGCCCTGACTACTGCTGTGGTATGTTCATGTGGAGGCAACTGTACCCAAGTCATCGGCCTGTGATGCTAAGGTGTGTTGAATTATTACATCAGTGTTGCTAAGGTGTGTTGAATTATTACATCAGTGTTGCTAAGGTGTGTTGAACCATCACATCAGTATTGCTAAGGCTTGTTGAATTATCATATCAGTGTTGCAATGGTGTGTTGAGAGTGTTTATGAGTGATTGAGGTGTGTTAGGTGTTTCTTTACACTCTCAGACCGGTGTTATTAGAGTGTGTTGGTGGCATCTAGGTACAGTATGTGTTTACAATATCAGACTAAGGTAGGGTGTGTTGTCAGTGTGCCACATACTACGGAACAAAAGATGGTAGGATGCAGGTGTAGGGTGATCTGTTTGTGTTTCTGTTTGTCTCTACTTCATGTTAACAGACTAGAGACCCAGGGTGTGTCGAAGGTGTCAAGGTGTCCCACACTCTACTTGACTGGTGTTGGCAGAGAGTGTAAAACTTTAAGTGCTCATAAATCTTCATAAACAAATATTATTACACTCGGGACAAGAGCGAGTGTTTGCACCTCGTTCAGTGAGGGTGTGTCTGTGTGTGTGTCTGCTCGAGGTATTTGGTTTATATTCATTGTGTATAATGTTATGCAGTATGAAGGAGTCGCTTCACTGATTATATTTGTGAACAGAAATATATGTACAGATCTGGAAGCTGAATTTATTTGTAAATTATGGAAATACATACAATATATATTCTTACCGTTGCTGAGATAATGTTATATACCCGAGGCTGTCAGTGTATCATAATCATAATAAATTTGTGTACATGGAATTATGGTGGTGTTTTATTTACCATAAGGAAATAATCGGTTAGTTATATGAGTAAACATATATACATACATACAGTGATTTACTTACATACATACATACATACATACATACATACATACATAGTCACCTCAAAAAGTCCGCGTCTCTTTCAGAACGAGTCAGTATTGAAACTAAATTAAATAATTCAGCACCGGCAGTGTTGGGATCCTGAACTACACAACTGTGAGTATTCTTGGTTATAATGTCCCTTACCTGAGGATGGTATACATATTTCCTCTAACATTCCTTTCTGAATGTAATAATTAAAACAAACAAATGACTCTCTTTCTCTCCGGGTGAAGTTCTCGGGGAGGAATGTCGTTCTTAATACATATGAAAATTATGCCCATGATCATTATGACAACACAGAAATTTCAATATATTTTACATGCATATCATTAACATGATTATACGTGAATCTGTGTTACATAATAATGGTTGCCCTTCGTGTAACGAGGATGGCCGGCCCAAGGGCCACCTAGGCGTGAATTTGTTTAAGGTGTAGAAGCTGTCGCCAAAACAACAACCACACCCTGAGTTAACGAGCTGCATGACCCAGTGTCAAGGAATAGTCCGAGAAGACCGGACAACTCGCCAACTTCACTGGCTAAACCATTACCCCAGAATACGATCCGCAAATCGATTAACATCCAGGTCCCCAATTACTGCTGGGTAGACAGGCAAATGGCGTAAAAAAAAATGCCTACAGTTTCACCCTGCCCGAGGATCGAATTCGGGTCAGCTCGCTTGCGAGGAGAGCATGCTGACCAAATACAAAAGAGATTATTTAATATGAAGGCGCAATAAAAGTCTCTTACGCACGAGGTACAACTAACAAATATTTTAATAAATTCAAAGCAGATGCGACCCAAGTTACACATTATGATCCACCACCAGCTAAATCTCTCCCAGCGGCGGGAGTGCATGGAACAATTTCACGCCCAGTGTTTAAAAGATTAGATCACTTGTTTTAATATAAATTTGCACATTTTAATGTGGTAGTCTGACCCCCACACACGAGTTACAGACGCGGGGGCTCGGGGCAGTGTACACAGCTCGTCCCAAACGAGCGAATGAGCGGCTCTACAGCGACCAGGTAATACCATAAACCTTGGTGAGTGAGAGGTGCACCGGGCGGCCAAAACTGAGGACTGGATGATGGTGCGATAATAAATGCGCCCAGTGGAGTTATGGTCTGTGCAGTGTGCAAAGAATAGCACCTCCCATGACACCTTCAGGGCCGGATTCAGGAGTGGGCAAAGTGGGCAGCTGCCCAGGGGCCTCCACAATCTGGGGGCCTCCACATATTACAATATTTTATTTATTTGTTTATTCATTTGGATTATTTTTATTTTCATTCTTTAAAATTCATGTTTATCTATTCCATCACGTAAAACTATGTTCAGCAAGAAGCGTGATAGAAATTAGGCTAGCTACTCCTTGAAATTCACGAATACCTGGTTTTCCTATGAACCGTTTATATTTAATGAATGCTATTGTTTGTGTTGCTAATAATATATTTAGAATTCCGGAACCCCCAGATGTTTAGGCTCGCTTCACTCGCCACCCCACCCTCTTGGGTAGTTATAATGAGGGGGGCCTCCACAAAGAGGCTGCCCATGGGCCTCCACAGGTCTAAATCCGGCACTGGACACCTTACCAGATGTGCACAAAAAAGTGGAATAATTGTTCCCACCCGGAATATCTGTCGAGGATTTGAAAACTGTTACTGTAGAAGTAGCTGCTCTTGTCTGAAAGGCGGCCTTCATTACAACAGTGCTTGTCATAGCCATAAATGTTGCGAAAACTTTGCTTAAGAATCCACCATGTGTGCATCATACTAATGTTTTGTTTATTTAGGGATATAGAGCAAAACAAAAATGTTTTATGACGTTTCCGTCGCAAATTGATATTTTTCGAGTAATTTAGACTTCAATTTCACTCAAGAACTTCAATTTGGGAGGGAGACAGTTGCCATCTGACTCGCGCGCCAATCACTCTACGTCTCGGTGTCACGTGACTATTTTAGCCAATCAGCGCTGCTCTCGGTGATACTCCTGCTCATCCCCAATGACTCAGTTTCGAATTCTAGTTTGGCGAGTCGCAAGGTGATTTCTCTTTGCACATGTGATCTACTGTATGTCGGTTTGGCAAACAATCATCGTGAAATTGAAAACGAAGCCGCTGCCATTGACATTTTAAGGCTCATGGTATCTTGCCAACCTCTGTGAAGTGCTACAGGCGTTCAGACGTAAAATATAAAACGATTGTGGGAGGATATCAAGAGTTGGGTGGTTCGTGCCGGCATTAAGAAGGAACATTACCAACAGTATTTCTCTCTGAATATGTTCCAGGCCGAATACAACAATCATAGACTATACTCCACCGCTTCCCCCTACAAGTAGCATCACGTTATCATCTAGCATCTGTTAATAAAGGTAAGTGGGTCTTTTACAAATTGGACGTTAGGTCAGGTCATTCTTGTTTCTCTGGTTGGGAGGTTTCGTTTCGTTAGTTTTTTTTTTTTTTGCGTGCCTTTTATCCCACAATTTCCCTCTACTTCAAAGTCCTGTCCACTTTTTGTAACCAATATTGTTGGTAATGTGGGAGCATATCTCCATAATGGCTCATTTGCGACGGAAATTAAGGTCAGATTCGCTTGAAACCACAAAATACACAAGGAAAACCTATATTTATTAGTAGTTCCCGTGGTCAAACTTTTCCGAATCTTTATCGTTTCTTGTAAATGTGAAATTAAAGTGATTCTTACCTACGTGAGTTTTACATGCATTCTCATTCACACAAATTGCCTTGTCCCAACACCCTTCAACTCTACTGTATTGCCTTGACTGTCTCACTGTCAGGGACCTCCTACCACAGGAAGAGTCACTAACCACTACATGTCACCATCAACTTTACATAATAATTTTGATATAATTCTCGTACGCTACCCACGCTTTGGTGGGTGCCAACTCCCTTTGTCTTCAACTCACCACAAATGTCTCCATATCACGAGTCATAGCGTGTCCTGCGAGACACGGGTGCCAGTGTATTTAGTGTATGACGGCATTGTCTTGTGACTAGGCTTGTCACCCCCTGGGGCGTAATAAATAAATTAAATAATCCAAACAATAACTCAACATAGTGTGGAAACTTGCGTGGTAGTGTTTCTTTATACATTCACGATAAAGGAGTATACCTGTAGTAACCAAATATTGTTTTATGTAGTATTATGTTCATAATTTGTGTTCATTATTTTAACTTGATCTTACATTAGTGAACTGTGTATAAAGTCGCCAGACGTAAATAGCTCCACATGTTAGGACACTCCCGGCAACTAACTATACTAGCCGCAGTGTTGTGTAACTCGTGCTGTAAGAAGCTCCCTTTATGAGTTGAAAATCAAACCAGAGGACTCACAGGGTTCATTCTGACTGCCTAGGACATGGCCTTTTTGAGGTGGACATACATACATACATACATACACACACACACAAAAGCTATTTACAGTCCTCAAAAAAATTATCGTTAGATTTTTCCGTCGCTACAATTTGAAACGCAAGACGAAATGCTTTGAAATGATCCCCAGTGCATCATCATAAGTTGGTTCACCTGCTCACCGTATTACCATACTAGATTCTTCAATATAACAAGAAATCCATTAAGTTATATTAATGTATATATCGTGCTGGGTAGAAGCAAGGCTTTTGTAAATAAGCCACTGACTGAGAGATACAAAAACACTGAAATATACTACATTAAATGGAAGTGTTTCGGAACTTCATAACTAAGACTGAGACAGACTTCATAACGCACATTTCACTATTACGTCGTTGTACTCAAGGGGTCTCACAATATTCCTACTTATGTTTTTCACTATAGGTTGATATTAAAGTGAACAGCTACAACAATATACAATATATCGGTCAACATGGGATCTGCCATGTTACTGATATGTAAATTGCTTTGGCTTAACACCGAAACCTATAGTAAGATATTTGTGGTTGTAAGTTTCAGTGTCACCAGTTGTTCCATGGAGCCTAACCCATCGTGATACTGTGGGTTCGCTACCACTGCGTTACGTATACCCATATTGCGATGTCTCCCCGATAATTCCTCTCTCTCCATTCGACGTAAAATCCCGTTGATGACTGGCACTCTTGAGTCATGTAAAATATGATCTGAGACCTCGGAGGTTCGAAATCGTATATATTCATTCATGCTCAAAGGTCGCCGATGTAGAACTACCAACCGTTCAGGAACAGGTCTAGTATCATTGTTGGGAAAGCTTCAAATCACATCGACGCCTTGACGGACGAGACTTTTGGAGGAGTATACACTGATATATCAATTATCTTAGGAATAACAAGGTAACAGAAGGAAACCACCGGTTGATGGGAGAATAATTATGTAGTGAACTTCAGTGACTTTAAAAATCATTTTCTCTAACACAATCCTGACGTGCTTAAAGACTTAAAGACTCTAGTTTCTGATGTGGTTCACCATTACAGTGCTTTCAGTAACCCTTAATACCCTGTGATTTTTACTTCTTGGATTCCACTTTATGTTCGTACTACTGTATGCCAAGTACAGTACCTTCTCTAATGTTTTGCAATATATTGGTGAATTTTAATTATACGGGTAACAAACCCTATACGTATGGTTGTCATTGTGTAGTCGGTCAAGAAGTGATAAACAATTTACAATCATTTTGATAATAAAATTTGATGCAACCAAATACTAGTCCATAATGCAAAGAAAACATATTTTGTCTTATTTTCTGATGTGCTAAATAGCTTAAACGTATATTATTCCTGACTCTCTAAGCACCCACGCATCTGGAGACATTTTTCACCCTCCCACAGCGAGCTGCCCTCACTAACTCTACTTAGGGTTAGCATTTGGGTAGTCCTTCAACTATAGCAAAGTCAAATGTATCATTAAGGACAGAGATTATTATGGTCACTGGCCTGTGTACGATCCCCCTATTTTTCATGGCAGTCTTATCCAGACACTTTTCCTTGTAAAGCATGAATACTGTTCCCCAGGAGACACAGATTATAACCTACGAACATGCAAATTGTTAGCTTCGAAAACAGACTTGTTCTCAACAGTATGCCAATATAGCACTATCTCACAAACCAGGCTCAAAATATATAATACATAATAGATTATTAATTTATAAAACAAATGTTAAACAAACTAGTTTTAACATTGTTACTCATAGAAATGCTGCTTCGAGATTCGTTTTCTGTTATGCGGCTCCGGTGATGGTAATATACTGTACATGAGAGACTTAAGCATTCTCAAAATTTCTTAAAGGTTTGTCGCAGCTGACTTGCTTCCACTTCCAAAATTTCATTGCCGCTTATTGATTTTCATGATAAATATTAAGTGCGGCCAAGTTCACACTTAAACAAGAATGGCTATCTATAATGTAGGGAACACATTAGTATATAATTTGGCATAGTTTTCAGGGGTCCCATGGTGTAATGGTTAGCACTTTGGACTCTGAATCCAACAATCCGAGTTCGAGTCTCGGTGGGACCTTGATCTTATATAGAACAATAAGTGGTACAAAGCAAGTGTGATTTCCTTTTACTACCGTCTCCTTGGGTCGAGTGTGTGAAGTGAAGTCCAACTGAACATCAAACTTTTTCCTACTGTCAATCCATTGGAGCCTTGAGGTGTGTCACTCACTGGACCTCTTGGGAGACCAATAAAATTAAATACCCCGGCGTTAAATGTTCTTGACAATTTTAGAATGGAATTTTTATATACAAACGATGCTACCAATCAATCAAGCAGCCATCCTTAATTCTGAGGGTTAGCGATCATTGTCCTCCACTAGATGCTCTCGGGTTGTTTTTCACAAACTTCCTACATTGATCATCTCCCCGAGAATCCCCAGTAATATTTCTTCCATCATCCCCTCATCCTTAAGGCTAACAGAGTACTTGGGTTCATACAAAGGAGTGTTAGTTACAAGACTAGCGAGGTCATCCTAAAACTATATCTTGCGCTTGTGAGACCTCACTTGGATTACGCAGTTCAGTTCTGATCACCGTCCTACAGAATGAATATAGAATCCCTAGAAAGCATTCAGAGGAGAATGACGAGACTAATCCCGGGCATTAGGAACCTTGAGTACAGAGACAGATTGAAACATCTTAATTTGCACTCCCTCGAAAGACGTAGAGGTGATAAGATCGAGGTGTATAAATGGAAGTCAGGGTTAAACAAAGGTTACCGGTATATAGCAAAGGTACTCAACCTATCCAACCAGGAGCGAGCTCGTAGCAATGGTTTTAAATTAGACAAATTTAGATTTAGGTGCGAGATAGGTAAACATTGGTTTGGAAATAGAGTAGTGGATGAGTGGAACAAGTTACCGAACTTATCATAAATTCGAGCACGCTTGATATATGAGCGATAGGGGTTGGGTGTAAACGGGGCTGCCTAGTATGGGCCAATAGGCTCGCTGCAGGTTCCTCCATTCTTATGTTCTTAGGTTCTTATCTCTATTTTTGTTTCTATGAATATCCATTTGTGCTCGGGCTCTTGCTAGACTTAATACTCGTTGGTTCCTGTCAGTATATCTTACCTTTAGAATTATCCCGTTCAGTAGAGCCACATTTCAAAGACAAATAACCTTCTGATGTCATCTGAAAGTGCAGACCACACAGTGCAGACAATATGATAAACATTAATGGATATGTGTGTGTGTGTGTGTGTGTGTAATAATAATAATAATTAATGATTTATTGAAATAACATGACAATCAAAAGGCTGAAAATGTACAGTAACATAATTGGGGAATGGATGACTTCATGACAAATAATATACAAGTGGCATAAGTGATACAAATATGATATATAATAACTAGGTGGGGAGAAGGTTATACTACAGAGGCTTTCAACATAGTGACAGTGCAAAAGTAAGATTGGCTGGGAGTGAATACTGTACACTGGTTGATTACGAGTTGTTTATAATCTTTACTATGGTTGGGACTGGGCTGTTCTTATAGCGATCAGTACGTGCTCGTATGGGCTGGAAGCGGTTGTGGTGTCGAACAGCAATTCTCGGACGAGAGATCTCGGGTGGATGCAGGAGCTGATGTCGAGGATGGTGCAGAAGCTTCTCCCCAAATATGGCGATGAGGTCGTGGTGATGGTCAGAGAGAGCTCTTCTTGATATGTGGAGTAGGAGGAATAATCTTGCGTGCCGTCTTCTGCACTTTTTCTAGGTGTTTACGTTGTGTGGCATTTAGGGAGGAAGACCAGGTGAGGTTGGGAATTACAAATATTGAGTAACCACTGAAGAGCTCGGGCGCGGGAATTCTGATGGACTTGAGACGACGGAGGAAGTGGAGACGAAAACTGTAAGATTTGACAATTGCACTGACGTGTGTTTTCCAATTTATTGGAGGGGGGGGTGGGGAAAGGTCAGAGGAGCGGTTGATGTGCATAACCATGGTCTTGGTATGGTTGATGGTGACGTGGTTGTTGGTGGCCCAATTTTGGAGACTGTTCAATATATTCTGGAGGACGCTGTAGTGTTGTAGTCGGGAGCCGAGTTGCTTACGTTGATCCCAAAGGTGGAGTCATCGATATATTTCCAACGAGCAGGAGTTTCTCTCAGGGCACCTTTGATAAGCGTGAGGAAGCAGTGCGGTCCCATCTTGGTGCCTTAAAGGCCGCCGCCACAGGTGAGTGACTGAAAGGTGGAGACAGCCCCCTTGGAAGCGTACGGCTTGGCGTCGGTCACTAAGGAAGTCTGTAAGCCATGGTATAAGACGGGACTTGCGAACTTTTTGCATAGAGGGCCACAATAAAATCATCTGATGCATGATAGGCCGTACACTCATTATATTGCCTCTAAAATTTAAAATTAATGATAAATTTAAGGGCAAAAAGACAAAATACTTACTGTGTTTGTTGAATGTGAAATGAGCTGTTAATGGGATGGGTATCGTTGTACAGTCGTGAACAGAAGTCCTGTCGCCCTTTGTGCTGTTCCGCGAACCAAGAGATTCAGACTCATGAACCCGAAGCAGTAGACACTGGTGCATTATTCTGCCCATAAATGCTTCGGATTCATGAGTCTGAATCTCAGGGTTCGTGGAGCAGCAGAAGAGGTGACAGGACTTTTGTTCACGAGTGTACTTGCTGAATTAAGTATGTAATGTCTGGCTGGATGGATGACGTAACAACAGGAAGGGTTTAGTTGGTGCACATCAGTAATAGAGAACCTTAATTTGTTCTTATTTATATTTATTTTTCAAAAAAAGCTGTTCACATAAGTATGTACTTCCAAACACTGACAACATTTTTTTTGTGCATGAACTGAAAGTTGTGGATAATCCTTGGGTGTGGGAGCCGCAGACTGGGTTCATGGTCATTTCAGAAGTGCACCGCATTGAAAGGCTTCGAGGGCCGCATGTGGCTAGATAAGACTTCTTCAAAAACCGAGGTCGATTGATTTGTTGATGATTAAATTGCTGACTACCAGGTCAAATGCCTTGGTGAAGTTAATGAAGGTGACAGCCACAGACATCTTTCGTTTTTCCAGATGGCGGTATATGTTGTCGAGAAAGTTGACGAGACTGAGTGGTGAAGAAAGTTTTCATATTGCCAAATTGCTGAGAATCTACGGCGCCTGCAATATCAGCATAAGCCCAGTCAAACACGAAACTTTCGCAGATTAAGCTGGGTTTTTGGGTGATGGCAATGGGTTATAACTCATTTAAGGATTGTGGGCTGGTTGACTTGGGCACTGGTGACACATAAGAGGTCTTCCAGTCAGCTGGGCATCTTGCTTGGCTGAGGGAAGCATTGATGATAGAGCAGAGGGGTTTAGCTAGTTCCGGGGAGAACTCCTTGTAGAGTTTCATTGGTAAGTTAATGGGGGTGGTGGAGCGTTTTAACTTCAGTTTGCCCAGACGTTTTGCTACTTCAAATTCTTCGACTATGTCAGTGGAAAAGGAGGCGAGTAGTTAAGCAGGGAGACTGGTTGTGTCAAGCCGGGGCCGGGGAGCGTCTGGCATATAGTAGTGAAAGCTGTTAGATTGCTCAGCTCAGCGAACGTTCAGTCTAAAACGTACGTGTCTCTGTGTACCAAGCAAAGGTTTAGTCAACAACGTGCGTCATCACCCACCCCTCCCCACCCCCCGCCAGGTCTTGCTAAATAAGTTTAAATGTACTGTATTATTATAGGCTACTTACCATTTCTATCATCTACTCTACTGAGGATATTTTAAAACACCAAGTTACAAGAAAACAGTTTATACAAAAACACTACAAACTCGGACCAGCCGATAACAATTTAATAACATGTATTGAAACCAGGAAATAAATTAGTGATTTAAATAACCGTGTCTTTATAAATATTGTGTCTAACCAATAAGAGACCAATCAAATTTAGTGTTATATGACCTTTAAGTTTACTGTATGTGGCAAAACCTGCACAATATGGCATACATACATACGTACATAAACAAAAATCAACAATAATACAAATATCTGAACATTAAGAATAAAACATATACACATCCAATGATTACCCGTTCGTGTATCTAAAGATCACTTCCTTTTTTTTTTTCTTAAATTCTGGTCCAGTCTGGGAGATTGTTGTAAAATTCCTCAATCTTCAGATTCTACGGAAGAAAATACATATAATTGTTTACTGTCCATCATTTCCCCAAGTGTGTCTAACCCAAGATTGTACAGTACACTGATAGCAAGGGTGATCATCCAAAATGGTTCAAATTCTAAAAGATTCCTACTTTTATTTTCCCCTTAAATGGCATTAAGAAAGTGTAATTTATCACAGTTGACTCGACTGTGATTTCAACTCTACAATATATAAACGCTGGTCTTTTTGTTGCAGCTCAAGTATTTTCATGTGTTTGTTTGTTAACATCACTTCTTCGGGGAAAACATAAACATACGAATCATTTAAGTATCCGGGCCTAGGTCAGCAAGGTTAGGAAGCCAGAGTTAGCGGGGCCCGGACCCTCCCATTAAAACCTGAGATGAATCCACTTGGTCGCCTCCACAGGTGAACAAGTCACATTTTCGTTGATGAACGGCTCTCATGACGTCAGCCGCTGTGCGTTTAAGAGAAGATTCTTCTCTACCTCCATGATTCAACCTGAAGTACAGTACAAGAGGTGGTGTGTTGACAATAATGTAATAGAGGACATGTACAGTACTGTAGTTAGATGTTCTGGAGATGAGTATGAGTGTTTTCCTTATATTTTAACGTGAATATTTATGACATGAATGTTTACAAATATACACATTTATACTGACACTTTTCACTAGCTTAGATGTTACATGATCCTCGGAAAACACACACACACGTACACACACACACACACACACACACACACACACACACACACACACACACAACAACAACTCACAAGTTCAGGAAGAGGCCAAGACGTTTTTCGATTGTGTACTGGAAGTCGGTAGAAGCGTAGGTCATGAGATCACAGAAGATCCTCTTAGAGCACCTGGAATCAGCCCACGGCACGTACTCCTCCAGGCGGTTCAGTAATGTAGGTTCACCCATCGGCACCTCTTCCACCAGCTGTTAGATAAAATACGTGATACATAATGTACCTTGTTCGCCTCTGGGTCATTCTTATCTTTAATTGCTAATACACATTGAATTTAATTGACGTATATAAATCCATCAGTTGTTAAAAAAAAAACTCAAATATATGACTCAGGTGAAACAAACCTCATCATCCTTATCACCAACTGATGCCAAAATACACAAAAATAAGATTCACATAGAAAAACACTGAAGCCTTAAACTCTGTTATTGTAAGCACACACACACACACACCTACTACTACTTTTTTTATAGGCCTCCAGCCTCCTCCAATAGCCATACCTTCGCCGCCATTTGTTTACGTTAAAATTAACTATCCTAATACATAAGTAGCTACCCTGGCTGTGTTGAGTTAGTTGAGCCACAGTTCTATGGAGCATTAAGTGACTGTTGCCTCGTAGTCAATATCTGCAACTGTTGTCGGCTTTGGGGCCGATGCTTTCGTTCCCCTGAGGCAAAGCAAAGCAGACCTAAGGAGAGAGAAGGTCAGTCGACATCTCATCCAGTCTGTAACATAACTTCTGGGATGCTGCTTCTCCTTCTGGCATAGAAACATCTTGCACTTGGTCCCATCCCACCGGAGGTTGTGAACACCAGAGAAGTAAAGCTGCTTTGATCAACATTCTGAATTCTCTCCCCATATGCCCTAATCTTGTCGTTCTCGTTCCTCCTGTGTGCAGCATCGAGAGCTAGGTTGCGGTGACATTCAGCCATGGGATAAAAAATCCTTATGTCAAAGAAAGCTCGCTGTCCCAGCGTCCAGAATCCATGAGCACTGGCGTCAACACGGGCTTCGTTGGATGTGGTTGAAGTCCTATGTTGGAAATTCTCGCGGTCCAATGGAAGGAGGGTCGGTTCTACCCTGACATCACGACAGATTTCCTTCAACATATTTGCAGTGAGATCTCTTACTTCGTCGTGCCTCATGCATACGAAGCCCCCTTTATTGCACAGCCATGGCGTGGTCGACGTCATAGGAAGAGCCACACACGCATTGGGAGGGCAACCCTTCTACTGGCCTACCGTACCTTAGAGCAATGGCATCTGTACATTCTTGTTTATTGAGACTGAAACCATTTGCCCTAAATCGGTAACGTAGTTAGCCAGTTCGAGGCGCCCACCTCCTGTGCTATAGCTACTTTTCTTTTCAAATTCTCTGGTACTTGCAGCATCAGTTGCTGCAACTTATCACATTGGCCGTGCTGTCGTTCTGTCGTAATGGACCGTCGAATCTTGTTTACTTTGCTGGTATCCACCTCACCTGTTGCGTTCTGAGCTATTATGTGGTCAGTGAGGGCTGCCGTGAGCTTGACTGAGTTTTAATGTTCGGTGGCAGCAATCTCCTCTGGATTGGTCAATCCCATTCCTCCCAGTCTCGGTGGTAGTGCAAGTAGTGACATTTCTTCTGTGGTTAAGTGAAAGTGTTTCACTAATTTTGGAATGAAATTCACGCTGATGGCTTCTTCCAGGGGGTGGAGGAGTCCGATATCAGGGATAGTACGCATCAGGTAGTTCCAGCGATGCTTGAATGCGTGGGTAAATGCTGCAAGAGCTGCATGTGGCTCTGTTTTAGCAATATCCGACAGAGCTTGAATTTCCCTGACCTACTCATTTACCTTTCCCGTTACTTACTCGGTCTTGAAGTCCTTTGTGCCGATTACCGCACCTAGGTGTCTTTGGCCATCCTTTTATTTTGACCTCACTTCCGCCAAACACCTCCACTGCCCGTTCATAGTGTTCTGGCTTCACAATGAGGAAGGACTTGCTGGCATTTGGGTGGTACCCTATTTGTGGACCATATGATGTTATCAGGTCCCACCACTTTTTGATGTCCTCCACTTTTCCTGCTCCTGTAAGGTCGTCAGCATAGGCCACTTGCTTGACTGCGGTTGTTTCAAATGTTATTGTGTGTTGGAACACGGATAGGCCTATTGCGTACATTGCCATTGCAACAGGGTCCCCTGTGTTGTTCCCTCAGTTGACTGTATGATGGTATCTCCTCTTAGGGCCTTGAAGCTTGATATATAGAGGTCTGATGGGTTCCTATAGGTGTTTTCAACATACTGTACATTACAAAGCTTAGACACTTGATCTTGATGTTGTGCAATGTAGCTTTGCAGTTAAGATGTTGAATGCATTGGAAGCGTCAACCAGGAGAACTGCCTCACAATCACGCTGCTCAAATATCGTTCCCATGGCGTGAATGACAGCTTCCCCTCCAGCCTGGTGGCCAGCACAAACTTGTAGGTCTCCTGCAGCTGCCCTGACATCATTCTTTACCACCTCCATTATGCATTTTCCGATGATCAGCCTCAGCACTTCACCCATCCCTAAAGGCCTACATCCTGGACTCCTATCCAGGGGAATGAGGCGGCGGGCCGTCAGAGCATGGAGGTGGTGGCAGCACGAGGTTGCTAGCTTTCTGGAAGGGCGGCGACGGCAGTGCAGAGATCAATTGCTACGGCTCAAAACTTGTTAGTGCTGAGGATGTCTATCCAACCGTTTGCATCCAGGCCTGAAGGGCCAGCCCCTCCCTAAGTTTTCAGTGGGTTTTTTTCCACACCATCCCTCCTGTTAGGTTCTCGAACAGGAAAGCATTTGGTGGGATATAGCCACCCTGGAACCTGATGCCTTCGTCTTCACTTGCAGAGGGATGTTTTTCTTTCAGTTGTTTTAATGTCTCTATTTATTGGCAGGACCCCACCGGTGGATTCCTCTGTGAAAGATCTTACCGCCAAAGACACTTTTCCCACATGCATCTTGTTTCCAAACTTTCTGGCAACGTCATCGGTGTTTTGCTTTAGTCTCTCCTGCAGTGTTCTTGCTTCACATAGGAGATCATCAAGGGCCCCATTCTGCCACATTGTCAATCTTCTCTTCATTGCTGCCACATTTTCTTTGTGCTTAGTCCTTGCGTGTGTCCGCTGACAGAATAGATGGGGTAATATTGCCGGTATTTGAAGAGCTGAAGGGGCAAGGAAGCAGTCCTGAGTGTACTCGGTTATGCGGCGAGTCATCTCCCGATTCATTTCCTTAGTGGCCGCACACTTGGGTGGTTCAAATAGGTTAGCTGGCGACCACCTGACAATTTCTGAGTAAGTTTCTATAACCCATATGTCCGCATTTTCCATTGACATGCCATTCCACTGTGGTGGCTGTCTGCCATTCACCTCGTGGACATCTGCTAATGTTGGATCAGCGGTTATTGGCACTACATTTTCAGGTTGAGTAGACTCACTGCTTTCATTCTGGATATCATCAGGCGGTTGGGTCCCGGCGATATCCACTGTGGCCTCCTGTGTCGGGTCCCTGCCCTGTGGGTTCCTACAATTGTTTCCCTTTCTGCAAACCACACATGGTCGGTTGTTTCTCGCACAATCACAGCTAGTGCAATTTTGGTTCTGGCTAGCACAGATGCAACAATGGTTGTTACCCGGCATAGTGCTCCACATTTCGGGCGACAGTTATGTCCGCCTCCGATATCTGCTTTGGTCCCATACAGAGGAAACTAGTTCTTATGAGGAAAAGGAGGAGAGGTGATTGGCTGGACCTCTGTGTCCGGGTAGTAGAGTGATACACTGGGAGCAGGAATTGTCACACATAACACTTGCTTATATATCTATGGCAGGAATAATCACTATTTCTATGGTCGCACTACTACTACTTTCCTTTCACTCGGAGTCGAGTATGACGATCATCCAGCTATGATCCAATGATATGAGTTATTAAGGATGTCACGTACGTTATTGAGTTCTGAGGTGACTAGAGAGGCCAATACAGGACTGGCAGGGTCGTCCGCAGATGTTGCACATGTGGAGGGCTACATATAGTGCGGGAGGGGCGGTGGCAGCATTTTGCGGCGTTGGCACTTCTCTGCCTCGGTTTGCATTCAGGCTAAATCGAAAGTATTGATACGCCCTTGTGTGGTGCTCCTCCAAGCGTTACAGTATGGAGTAATCGTCTCCCAAATGAGCGGGTCGATTTGGCACTTTTTCAAAGTGTCTTAAGACTATCCTTATACCTTTTCAGTTCCCGCCAGCGTTACATTTACTGTTCCTTAGGTGACTGTAAAGTAGCTTCTTTGGCTGTCTACTTTCGTCAAAATACGGGTAACACGGCCAGTCCACCACAGTTGTTCATGAGTAATGGTAGCCTCGATGCTCCTACAGTTGGTGGCAGCGAGAATATTGGCATTTGTTCTCTTGTCTTCCCAGCGAACTCGGGGGATGGAACTTAGACTACGTTGGTGAAAGTTTTCAAGTGCCTTGAGGTGGCTCCTGTATGTGACCCATGTCTCGGTGCCATATAGCAGGGTAGGGAGGACCACTGCTTGATATACGTGCAACTTCGTAGATAATTTAAGCTCCCTACAGCTGAAGACACGGGAACGGATTCTGCCAAAGGCTTGAGATGCCCATCTGATCCAATGTCGAATCTCTTCATCGATGTTAGCAGTGGTGGACAGGTGGGAGCCGAGATGTCGAAAGTGGGTAACATTAGAGGCGGTAGTATCACTAAGCTGGATGGATGGTGGAGGTGTGGCTGAACCAGGGGCAGGCTGAAAGAAAATCCGAGTCTTACGTACATTCTCCTCAAGGCCGAAGTCTGCATACGCATCTGCATAGGTGTTGTGTGCAGCACTCGTGCTGACGAGAAGTAGGCCGTTGGGATGGAACTTGCCTAGTCCATTTCTTCCTATGGTTCCTTGACAAATGTCAGCATCTCTGCCAACTGTGGCACTGAAGTCACCAAGGAACACAACCTTATCTTCCCTGGGGATTGAGGTTAGCACTCTGTCGAGGTCGGAGTAAAAGGCCTCCTTGATGTCATCCTCTGCATCCAGTGTCTGGGCGTATGCACTGTTAAAATAGCATGACGTGAGTGATTCAGTGGGACTAGGAGCGTCATGAGGCGCTCGTTGATCCCAACAGGCATTTCAGTTCGCCTGTGTAGGATGCATTGGTGGATGCCAAAGCCAACTCCATAAATGCGGTTTCTCTTCGCAGCAGGCTTACCCTTCCAGAAGAAGGTATAGCCAGACCCCCGTTCTGTGAGTCGACCCTCGTCTGGGAGCCGGCACTTAATAATGGCTGCTAGGTTGATGTTTTACTTTAAGAGCTTGGGGGATTTCCCCCTTTTCCCATATATTCTCCGGGAGAGAGTGGATACGGCTGGTAAGCAGAGGTCCTCCTGCTTTATACACCTCGGTTGGAATTCCATCTGGCCCTGAGTTTTTTTTATTTTTCATCTGTTTGATGGCAGTAGCTACCTCATCCAGGGATGGAGGATAGCTGAGGTGGGTCACACACACACACACACACGCACACGCACGCGCGCGCGCGATTTACGTAACATCTGCAAAATTATATGAAATACCGTGCATATGCTGGAAATTTTATCTACTCCGTGAAATAAAACCGTATATTGTATAGTCATTAACGTACCTGATCGAGGAACTCCAGAGTGGGGTCGTCGACGGAGCGCTTACCAATGGTCACGTTACTGGACGCGGCCACAGCAATCCCAACCAGACCTGTGGAGAATGGAAGAGTGAGAGTCAGGCAGGAGAGAACACGTCAATCTACCACGGTTGTGAAAAAAAATATAGAACATTGATTACTTCCTGCATATTAATGCCTCGTAATCTCTCTCTCTCTCTCTCTCTCTCTCTCTCTCTCTCTCTCTCTCTCTCTCTCTCTCTCTCTCTCTCTCTCTCTCTCTCTCTCTCTCAGGTGATTGGCTATCAAGTGAAGAGAAACAAGACACCAAAACTATATTAAACACTCTTCAGATGTGACCTCTCCTGTGTCCACCTGCCTGGCTTACCGTCACGACCTATTGAACAAAATAACAGTAAAGATGAATGAGGTGTGATAATAAGAAATTGATTAAGAGAAAGAAAGATATCTACGTCGTAGAAGAGGACAAATGGGGGCAATACAAGACGAATTTTGATCCGACAAAAGTAGAGAAAGCCAGAAATAGAGGAAGAAAATTTGAGGAGGAAAAATGAGAAACAAATGAAGGCAAGAGAATGGGTGAGAAGTGAAAGGCAGAATGGTGAATGACACAGTGAAATGACTCAAAGGTAAATAATGGCAAGAGAAAGTGAGAGAGAGGTGGGAAAGTGTAACAGAAAATGATTGAGAAAAATGAAGGAAGAGGCACAATAAGAGACACAATATGTTACAGCAAGAGAGAATGAACGAGAACTTCTGTGAGAGATAGACATGAAAGGAATATTGAAAGAAATACCGAAAGAAGTAAGACACCATGATAGAAGAGATTTGCCGTGAGAGAGAGAGAGAGAGAGAGAGAGAGAGAGAGAGAGAGAGAGAGTTGAGATGCATATTAAGCCGCATCTACAACACAATGTAGGGAAGAGGCGGGAGCTGTATGAGAGTTACCAAGTGTGCCCAGGAGAGCGACGCCAGCCACCAGGGGTAAGCTCTCATCATCAACTGTGCGACTGATGTAGTCGTTCATGGTACCCAGGTTCAATCTCTCGGACAGGTGGCTCATCCTTTTGGGCAGCTGGAATCGTTCAGAGAACCTTTGGCCAGCTGTCATCATCGGCTTGAGTACTGGAGACGCCATCTGTGGACCATCCCAGAATTTATAAACTTTAATGTAAGGTTAGAATAATACTGCACCAAAACTCTGACCACTAACACTCCACCTGCCACCACTAACACTCCACCTCCCACCACTAACACTCCACCTGCCACCACTAACACTCCACCTTCCACCACTAACACTCCACCTTCCACCACTAACACTCCACCTTCCACCACTAACACTCCACCTTCTACCACAACACTCCACCTGCCACCACTAACACTCCACCTTCTACCACCACTCCACCTCCCACTAACACTCCACCTGCCACCACTAACACTCCACCTTCCACCACTAACACTCCACCTCCCCACCACTAACACTCCACCTTCCGCCACTAACACTCCACCTCCCGCCACTAACACTCCACCTCCCACCACTAACACTCCACCTGCCACCACCACTACCTCCACCACTAACACTCCACCTCCCCACCTACCACTAACACCTCCACCACTAACACTCCACCTCCCACCACTAACACTCCACCTCCCACCACCTCCCACCACAACACTCCACCTCCACCACCAACACTCCACCTCCACCACTAACACCTCCCACCCACACCCCACCACTAACCTCCACCTCCCACCACTAACACCCACCTCCCACCACTAACACTCCACCTCCCACCACTAACACCTCCCACCACTAACCTCACCACTCCACCTCCCACCACTAACCTCCACACCACTAACACTCCACCACTAACCACCTCCCACCACCCACCACCACCTACCTCCCAACACTCACTCCACCTCCCACCACCTCCACCTCCCACACCACCACCAACACCACTAACACTCCACCTTCCACCACTCCACCTCCGCACCACACCACCCACCACCACTAACACTCCACCTCCCCACCACCTCCCACCACTAACACTCCACCTCCCACCACCCACCTCCCACCACTAACACCCACCTCCCACCACTAACACTCCACCCCACCTCCCCACCACCTCCAACCTCCACCTCCCACCACTAACACTCACCTCCCACCACTAACACTCCACCTCCCACCACTAACACTCCCACCTACCACCACACTCCACCTCCACCACTAACACTCCACCTTCCACCACTTCAACACTCCACCTTCCCACCACTCCACCACCACTAACACCTCCACAACACCCACCCTCCACCACCACACTCACCTCCCCACCACTAACACCCACCTCCACCTCCCACCACCCACCACTAACACTCCACCTCACCACTAACACTCCACACTAACCTCCCACCACTAACACTCCACCTCCCACCACTAACACTCCACCTCCCACCACTAACACTCCACCTCCCACCACTAACACTCCACCTCCCACACACCCTAACACCACCCCCACCACCACCAACACTCCACCTTCCCCCAACTAACACTCCACCACCACCCTCCACCACTACAACTAACACTCCACCTTCTACCACTAACCTCCCACCTTCCACCACTAACACTCACCTTAACACTCACCTGCCACCACCCCCTGCCACCACTCCACCTCCACCACTAACACTCCACCACCACACCACACACCTCCTCCACCTTCCACCACTAACCTCCACCTTCCACCACCACCACCCACCTGCCACCACCACTAACACTCCACCTGCCACCACTAACACTCCGTCTCCAACTAACACTCCACCTTCCACCACCACCACTCCACCTCCTACTATCACTACCTGACGCCACTAACGCTCCACCTGACGCCACTAGCACTCCACCTACCACCACTAACACTCCACCTGCCACCACTAACACTCCATCTGACGCCACTAACCTCATAGAACCTCTCGCTCATCTTCCTTAGCGGCTCCATCATCTTCTCGTAAACCGGTTTCTTTGTTGATACTTCCTGGCGATGGTCGTAAGTTGCAAAGGAGGAAAGACCCACCAGATGCTGCCCTGCCTCCGACGACGCCTGCTGGGCAATAGGGGGTAAGGAGGATAGGTGATGAGGAGCAAGAATGATGGGCAATAAAGGTCAAGATGGGTGGACAATGAGGAGCAAGACGGAGGATGGGTATTGAGGAGCAAGATAAATGAGCAATAAAGGGCAAGAATGGTAAATAGTGGGATGCAATAAAGGTGGGCAATGAAAGAGGAGCACTAGTGGCAACATGGGTCAGTAGTAACGGAGCAAGATGGATGGGCAATGAAAGACACAGAGGTTAGGTTAGGTTAGGTTAGGTTAGGTTAGGTTAGGTTAGGTTAGGTTAGGTTAGGTTATAATAAAAAGATACTTTATTTTAGCGTTTGGAAAAATAGTACTGAGTTAAAGTGATTAGAGATGTGATTCAAATTTTAGACGGAACCGTTTTTACAGGTTACAGTTCGAGGAAGATCTGATTAGTTACAGGTTGAGGAAGATCTGATTAGTTACAGGTCGAGGAAGATCTTGTTAATTACAGGTCGAGGAAGATCTGATTGGTTACAGGTCGAGGAAGATCGGATTAGTTACAGGTCGAGGGAGTTCTGATTAGTTACAGGTCGAGGAAGATCTGATTAGTTACAGGTCGAGGAAGATCTTGTTAATTACAGGTCGAGGAAGATCTGATTGGTTGCAGGTCGAGGAAGATCGGATTAGTTACAGGTCGAGGGAGTTCTGATTAGTTACAGGTCGAGGAAGATCTGATTAGTTACAGGTCGAGGAAGATCTTGTTAATTACAGGTCGGGGAAGATCTGATTAGTTACAGGTCGGGGAAGATCTGATTGGTTACAGGTCGAGGAAGATCTGATTAGTTACAGGTCGAGGGTGTTCTGATTAGTTACAGGTCGAGGAAGATCTGATTAGTTACAGGTCGAGGGTGTTCTGATTAGTTACAGGTTGAGGAAGTTCTGATTAGTTACAGGTCGAGGGAGTTCTGATTAGTTACAGGTTGAGGAAGTTCTGATTAGTTACAGGTCGAGGAAGATCTGATTAGTTACAGGTCGGGGAAGATCTGATTGGTTACAGGTCGAGGGAGTTCTGATTAGTTACAGGTCGAGGAAGTTCTGATTAGTTACAGGTCGAGGGAGTTCTTAATAACCTATAAGTTTTAGTGATATACATTTAAAAATTAAACAGAAGTCAATATTTCAGTTCTGGATAAAAAAATGTTATATTTTTTTTATTATTCAAAATCAGGTGGAAAAAAATAAGCTGACGTCACTAGAAATCAGGTTATTTTTAAGTTTATGACGTCATTAGACTTCCGGTGATGACGTAACAGCTGGATTATGGGATTGTGAGTCGGAGGAAGAGAAGGGAAGGTCTACCTGGCTCTCCGTGTTGTGACGTATGTGGTGGTGGTTGGCTTGGTTGGTGGGTACTGGGATGGGAATATTGAAGGTCGGGGCGCCGGGGTGAGCCTGTAAAGATAGGTTAGGTGATGTCATTATACAGGTAAGGTTAATTCAGCTAAAAAAAAATGTGGATTTCTTTTACACGGAAATTGTCCCAAACCCAGGAAGTGTCGCTGGAAGGCTTTGTGTGAAGGGACTAATTTGGGGGTACTTTTTTCTCTACTGTCAGTTATAGATAAGGGTTTATAATGTACTCTTAGATGTGTGTTCAAATCTAATTAAGTTTGGGTCTCTAATTACACCATATGTATTACCCTAAATAAAAAACAAATCTATGGAAGTAAGTTTAACCAGCACAAGAGAGTGAGAGTGAGGGAGATGACTTACCTGGAATGTCGAATCCTTGATAACAAAGTGTTCAGGATTGGCCTTGTAGACGGTGTGTGGGGCGTGGGGTGGAGGGGTGCTGAGGGCAGATTGGTGGAGCACTCCATAATTGGAAGAGGTGTCTAGATGCGACACATCATGGTGGACGGCAAAGTTGGACTGTGACGAGTGACCGATTGGCACAGCGTTAGAGAGGGAGGTGGCGGCAACGGAGGAGGTGCGGACTGGTTCGAAAGAGGAAGGGGAGGCCACGAGGGTGAGGCTTTGTGCCGAAGGTTTGGCTGCCGAGGCTGAGGGAGAAACCACTAGCGAGAGGCTCTGTGCAGGAGGTTTGGCTGCTGACCCAGAGCCGTACACCACGTCCCTGGAGTCACTGCTGGAGCGGGAGCTGTCCTTAGGTGCTGCCAAGTAGCTGTAGCTCACTACCTGTGAGGTCATAACTAGATTAACATAATTGAACACCTGAACCTCATTACAGGTAGACTCACCTTCACTCTAGTAACAACTTTGTCTGATCAATGATCACCTGACACACCCTGCACTGTACCTGTGTGTGTGTGCGGCTTTCTGATTAAAATTTCCGTCATCAGTGGTAATTAAAGAGAAATTATAAATTCAACACCTGAGGTACCATAACGTGGGTCTTGTCAACAACCACACCATTTATCTCTGATGCTAAATTGAGTAATATCCTTCTGTTTAGATTTATTTCAGACATAAGAACATAAGAATGGAGGAAACTGCAGTAGGCCCATTGGCCCAAACTGGGCAGTCCCATTTACACCCAACCCATATCGCTCATATATTCATCCAACCTATGTTTGAAGCTATCCAGCGTATTCGAGTTAATGATGATATTTGGTAACTTGTTCCACTCGTCAACTACTCTATTTCCAAACCAGTGTATACCTATTTCACGCCTAAATCTAAATTTGTTTAATTTAAAACCATGGTTACGAGTTCGCTCCTGGTTGGATAGTTTGAGTACCTTTGTAATGTCCCTTTGTAATGTCTCATTTGTTTAGCACTGACTTCCATTTTTACACCTAGATCATATCACCCCTCACTCTACGTCTCTCGAGGGAGTGCAAATTAAGATGCTTTAACCTGTCTCTGTACTCAAGATTACTAATGGCCGGGATTAGTTTTGTCATTCTCCTCTTAATTCTTTCCAGAGATTCTATATTCATTCTGTAATACGGTGACCAGAATTGAACTGCGAAATCCATGTGAGGTCTCACAAGCGCAAGATATAGTTTTAGGATGACCTCGCTAGTCTTGAAACTAACACTCCTTTGCTTGAACCCAAGTACTTTATTATCCTGGTTTCGAGCAAATACATATTGTTTACTTGGCTTAAGAATCCTACTTATCATTACTCATAAATCTTGCTCACAGTCGAATTTCTCTATAACATCGTTATTCATCTGGTATCTGGTTTCTCTGTTTACATCTCCTAGACTAAGTACTTTACATTTGTCCACATTGACTTTCATCTGCCATTTTTCAGACCATTCGAAAAATTTGTTTAGATCTTCCTGTAGTTTTGCGGAGTCCTCGTCAGATTTAATTACACGCCCTATTTTAGTGTCGTCAGCAATTTTACTTGTGTTGCTGTCTACGTCGATATCTATGTCGTTTATGTATATAATAAATAATAATGGTCCAAGTACTGAGCCTTGGGGTACTCCACTAATGACGTTATTCCAATCGGATTTAGTGCCGTTAATGCTGACTCGCTGTTTCCTGTCCCGTAGCCACGCACTAATCCATTTTAGAATATCTCCTCCAATGCCATGAGCCTCCACTTTTCTTATTGGTCTTTCGTGGGGGACTCTGTCGAAGGCTTTGCTGAATTCAAGATATACCATATCATAGTCGAGCCCGTCGTCCACTGATTCGAAAACAGCTGAAAATAATGTTAATAGATTAGCTAGACATGAACGCCCGCTGTGAAGCTATGTTGGGAATCATTGATCAACTTGTGCTTCTCCAGGTGATTTCGAATAGAGTTTGAAATTATTGCTTCAAATAATTTGCCTAGAATTGATGTTAAACTGATTGGAAATAATAATAATAATAATAATAATAATAATAATAATAATAATAATAATAATAATAATAATAATAATAATAATAATAATAATAAATAACGTACTGTACAATGTACATAATGACAGAATTATAATGGTGTGTCTGTCTGTCTGTCTGTCTGTCTGTCTGTGCGCGCGCGCGTGCACTTCCGTGGGTGAATAAAAGATAATATGTACAGTAATAGACGGACAAGTGTAGACAGGTGACCAGAGTTGGTAAACTTTAGCTGCGTGTTTATCATATCTAGAATAAGGCAGCGTCTCTGTGATTCACCTGTGCTTCTACTGGTGTTTGTGTGTATGTAAGTCGTACAAAGAGTATTATTGTACCTGTACTTTATACCTATATCTGTACCCATAACATTATTCGAAGGTAATATAAGAAGTGCTGTACTGGGTATGTCTGGATGTTGCTGAAAAATAACAAATTATATTGAATAAAAACACAAGTCATGAGAGAAATTAAATACGACTTTGTGTTGCGTTATATCATTAACTAACAGGTCAGTGCATTAGTTGTAACCTTCCCTCCCCACCTGTTCTGACCTTAACAGTGAACAGGTAATAATTCACTCGGTGCAGTGATAAGGTTTTGCTAACATGCAGTAGATTATGTCGGGCATTGTTCATGGTGTAAATAAAACGTCATCTCCTCTGTCAACATTCACATGGTCGTGTGTTCAGACGAGAACCACCCGTACACATCCTTAAAGAATATTCTCATGTCATGATACCTATACCACACCATAAGAAAAGCATTCACTATATTGGTATTCCAACACATGTCCAGATACCCTTGTTAAATCATGTCACAAATTATTCCCATTCACTTCATCTCCCGAGGCAACACACTACACATCCGGGTACCCAGACGAAACACAAGACAGCGAGTCATTCATCTTACCTTCACATGATTTATTCCGATTTCTTTCCCTGTATTTAAACAACAAGTATTTTACCTCTCACCCTCCCGACCTCCAGCTTCTCACCTGTTCAGAGGAGGTGGAGATGTTATCGTCCTCAAAGGAAGCTTCGGCCACAACCCCGGTCCTTTCGTTGTTAAAAAACCTCCTGTAGTAGAAATCCGGGTACTTTGGGCCTCCGTCTTCAAGGGCCACTTGCTTCAAGGAGGAGGACGAGGATGAAGGCGCCACAGCTACTATCGATGAAGGCTTAAACCCTCCCTGCGTCTGTAATACATATGGGGTGAGACCTTGGAGGCTGAGGCAAAGAAGAATTGAGAAAGAGGAGAAGAAGTAGGAGGATGAGGAGAAACAAGAGGAAACGGATAGGGAGTAGTAGGAAGAAAGGAGGAATGGAAGAGGAGGAGGAGAAAGCAGCCTCTACAACTAATTAGCTCAACTTACTGACGGAAGTAGTGGCTTATAGAGAGTCATGAACAGAGATACAGACATATAGAATCAACAACACCTCCTTACAGTGTGTCTATGATGGTGTCAGCAGCAAGTAATTAGAGTTTATACGTTTATAATTGACTTATTAAAATATGGTGTGAACTCTCTGTCCGGGTTATAAGATATCCCTCACTTAGGAAGGATTGTTATTATGACTGTACACACGTAATGAAGATGAGGTCAATGATAATGTGTGGCCAACAAAACCCCTTGTCCATGAGGAGTTGATACAATCATTATAGTTCAGGAAGACAAACACGAGACATTGTTATTGGTCGTCCTCGCGTTGATAGACACTCTGGCTCGTCCTCGTGTTGATAGTCACTCTGGCTTCTCGAATTATTGTTTTTCTTAGATTTGTTTACAACTTTAACAAAATAAAAATAAAATTATGATTTATAGGTATCTTTTACGTTAAATAACTTCCTTAAGGGAACAGTAAAACAAAAATTTCCCCTCATAGAGATAATTATTTGGTTTCTGATCTATAGTATGAGTGATCTAAGAAATAACCATCCTCTGATAGTTCAAGAGTAATATTCACTTATGAGAATATAGTTTTTTGTGTGGAGAAATTTCATGCTAAGATATCATTGATTATAACTGAAATGCATAGAGTTAACTTTTCTGCAGAGTTCTCAAGTGAAAAACAAAACTCACCTTTTTTAATTCTGCGTTCTCGAGGACTTAACTTTTTTGTTGTTGTCCGGCTTCTACTCATCTTTTAGTGGGTATTATACACATCTTATAAATTCCCCAACAGCACTAAATCATTCCCCGAGGAGATGACGTGGATTAATATAAAAGTTAACTGACCCATATTAGCGAGTTGAGTCAGCAGGAGAGCTTGGGTGTATGAGAAGCTCGCCCATGTAGCTATTGGGTATGGTTAGCTTCCTGGAATCAGTAGGAAATCCTGGCTAAGAGTAAGAGGCTGACCCACCTGCTGTTGGCTTCCTTGGGTCAGCACCCGGGCTTGGCGGTCTGTGGCGGGCTTGGCTGACTCCCCGGACACTGACCTGCCCTCTACCTTGTTGGCTTTGACTTCATCCTCGGCTGTTATAAGCTTGTTGTTGACGATCCTGAAGGTGGTAGGGCCGGAGGGATAGGGCAGGAAGTAGTGAACATGGTCAGAAGAAGAAGAAGAACAAGAGTTGGTATGTGGAATCACTGAGAACATTTGTGTCGGTGTTAAAAATGTAACATTACTGTCAGAAACTGGGAAGACTCTGGACAGGCCAATGAAGATTTGACGTTAACTGTATCTCTATATTTGGTGCTTTTCTGTTCGTCACGATTTATTTTTATTTTTATGTAAAAAAAAATAAACTCTGGATTAAATTTGATCACCATGACAAAGAGAGAAACCCGTGATTCCTGTCTAGCTGTGACGGAATATATTTATATCAATCTGTCAATGTCGCGATGCTATACGGACAAGAACGTTATCTATATACAATCTAAATATATACATTTACACAGGGATACAAATATATGTATATATATATATATATATATATATATATATATATATATATATATATATATATATATATATATATTTGTTTTCGATACTTTAGGGTAACATAGCTATATCTTAACTATGAACTACGATCCTAAGTACATTGCTACCAGTCCCCAGCTTTCTAAAACCCCCATCCCTCACTGCCTCAGCTCCCAACACTGCCTCCCAGCCCCTGCCCCAGACCCTAACACTGCACCCCAGCTCTCTAACACTGCCCCTCAGCTCTAACACTGCCGCCCCCAGCCCCTCCCTAACACTGCCCCCAACAGTCCTAACATTGCCCCCCATACCTGGCGTTCCTATAGACGTGAGTGTCGTTGGGGTCATCAGGTTCCCTCACACCGTGGATGATAGGAATACCGTCATCACCGATCTCAATGACCTTTCCCTTCCTGGCGTTGCCCGTCACTATTAGCGTCTTAGATGAAACCTGTGGGCCGAGTCAGGTCATCCAGGGGTAAAGGAAGGCCGAGCCAGATCATCCAAGGGTCAGGGAGGGTCGAGTCAAGTCACCCAGGGGTCAGGGAGGGCCAGACAAGGTTAAAAGTAAAGCCAGGCGCGTGTCCAGAGTAGACGAAGATTGATAGAGACAGGAAGAGGGAAGATGGCGGTGGTGGAGATGGTCGGGTAAGTCAAGGGTTACGTATTTATGTGTTAGAGGAGAAAGGAGGAGGGGGGGGGGGAGGGGGAAGAGAGCAGTGGGGGGTTGTTGAGGGAGAGAGAGGGATGTCAAAATGAGAGAGAATTGGTAGAGGAGGGACGTTGAGGAAGTAGGTAACACAGTGGAAGAGTGGGGAGGGGAGGGGAGGGAGGGGAGGTAAGGGAAGGGGGCATGGAGGAAAATGGGAAGAAAATAGAGTGAGCAATATTAATACCCGTACGTCTTATAAACAACTGAATATCAACATCATGAAAATAAAGACAGATTAAGAAATATATTGACCTTTCCGCGTCTTATGAGAAGTAAATTAATATAATACAGTTAAGGTGTTGTGTTAGGGATTCAGAGATACCATGACACTGAATAATATGCACAAGAAGACAATATAAACTTCTTTTACACACACACACACACACACACATACGTGCATACTCACACACATACACACACACACACACATACATGCATACTCATACACACACACACACACACACACACACACACACACACACACACTCATACTCACACACATAGGCTACAAAAACAGTATCTTTTTATCTCTGAACCCCTGACAGGATCTTTAAAAGCAGGAGGTATTTCATCCCAAGCAGACACGTTTGTTAAGGCAGGTGTAGTGAGGTTTACAGTTAGTATCATCAACCCTTGTTTACGTGTATACTGTCTCATGTTGGTGCATATTGAGTCGAGCTGTGACCTCTAGAAATTCTATCTCTACGTGCTACTACAAAATATTTACAACAACCTTAAGAACACGAAGGACCGATTTGTCAAAAAGAAAATAGAATAAAATGAATAAGAAAAAATATTATACTTTTATATAAAAAAATTCATAAAATTTTATCGAAAGTGAACCTAAAGTTTCTTGTTAGATAAAGAGAGGGAGAAAGGAAGGGTCTTGAACAAAAAAAAATCTATTTCAAAATATTAGAAAAATCCTGCTGAAAGGACAGATGTATCGGGGAAATATCTGTCAGAGAACAGGTGTAAACAAAGAACTGAGGCAACAGGTGACACAACTAATATACAGGTGTGCCAATTATCGCTGTAACGATTAACTATTAATATGAAATAATTTACCATACCAATAAAAACTTTTCTCCGGTTAAAACCAAAGCTATGAACCTCCAGGTATATGTTAATAAAGCACAGCATGTTTCATATACTTGAACATATGTACTATTTAGTATGTGTTTAGAGTCATAATTTCGCTATATTAACCACAAATGAGCCTTCTAACACTGGCTTAAGGGAGTATGTAAGTCATTATGTCTGGCAGAAAACGAGTACGGGAAGATGTCTGAAATAAAATAGGTGTACAAAGGACAATAAAGATGATTCAAGATATGTGTAAGAGATGAAGAGAAGAGACGTGAAAAATATATGTTATTAACACTTCAAGTAAACACACTCATACAGATCTGCCAGTAAACACTTGTGGAGAAGAACAGCTGTAAGACAATTAAAGGATGGACTCAAGAACATGTGTATTTGAGAACACAGTATATGTCATTGATATTAAAAGCAACACATGTAACAGAGAGAGATACAGATGTTGAAAGAGACAGATTCAACAAGATCGACAAAACAGTGGCCAAAGATCGTGGGCGGACGACCGGGAGGATCCTGTTGTGCATCTGTGTGTGTCACCCCGCCAGGATCCTGTTGTGCATCTGTGTGTGTCGCCCCGCCAGGATCCTGTTGTGCATCTGTGTGTGTCACCCCGCCAGGATCCTGTTGTGCATCTGTGTGTGTCACTCCGCCAGGATCCTGTTGTGCATCTGTGTGTGTCGCCCCGCCAGGATCCTGTTGTGCATCTGTGTGTGTCACTCCGCCAGGATCCTGTTGTGCATCTGTGTGTGTCGCCCCGCCAGGATCCTGTTGTGCATCTGTGTGTGTTGCCCCGCTAGGATCCTGTTGTGCATCTGTGTGTGTCGCCCCGCCAGGTGTTCACTACTCACCCCGGGATCAACTTACCTCATCGGTGCTGTAAGCGGAGGCTCTACAAGCAGGGGAGTGCGACCATACCCACATCTTCATGCTTTCATGCACTAAGCTAACCCCCCACAACACAAGCAGTGAGGCGTTCAGTTAATAGTTCCCTCTTTGGTCTCATGCAAGCACAGCGGGAATTCAGTCTCTCCGTTTCGTTATTAATGTACCAGATAACGAAATATAGGAGTGATTTTTGTTTAATTTATCAAAAAGTTCCCGAATATATGATTCATTATAGAGTATCCTGAAGAAAAGACCCACACAATTAGAGTTTACTCATTACTTAAGAGAATTGTTTTATATACTGGCCATTAATGTTAACTGTAATATTCATATCACCAATTCTAATGTGAAGTTTCTAACACACAATAAAATGCTTCATAAGTGTCTGTGTGAAGTCCTTTATGAATACTGTGTGATATAAAGATGCATTTTAGTTTACACTCCAGATTTGTTATCCGAAGTCTCAAAGATTCGTACGTTCAATTTCTTCCCATAAACTGAGGATATAAGAGAACACATCTACCTATGATAGTCGTCATTTCTGTGTCACAGCTTGAATGAAACGAGGCAAATTAGGGGTATTCTCACATCTCCAGTTAGAGAGTTGACTGAACGTACCGTGTGAAACTCAGAATCCGAACCTTTAGTATGCAAGGCCATGTCTCACTCTTACTGTACCTCAACTGGAGGAGGGACGACTATAGCTCTGGCTTTGCCCTGGCCACCTACAGTAGCCACGGCTTTCGTCATCCCCGAGGGCTGGTCGGGGAACTCGGCCGGGTTGTCGATGGAGCGGCCAGCCACCAGCGCTGCCCCCATCATCGTCACCACCAGCACCACCTTCATGGCTGAGGGGGGGAGGGAGGGAACCAGGTTAGTTAATGGGGTCACTCGCCGTGAAAATGGAGAATGGGAAAGAGTGGCTTGAGACAGAATACTTTACTGTCATTTAAAATACCCTTCAAAAGCTAGCCTTAGATAAATATAGATAGATAGATATAAACAGATATATATACAAGTATACATTTTTACAACCATAAGAAGTATATACTAATATAATTTTTACAAATAGATGAAACTGATCTACGGGAAGACGTAAAGATAGAATAATAGACAACTATTTGAAGTTGAGAGATATTTTGTTTTGGTGTGTGTGATGAGTGCAGTGATGCGGAGTATAAAGATGGATATTAACAACACTGTAGTGAGGTGGTCGGCCAGCTGTGTGTGGTCGGTAGCGGCGGTGGTGTGTGGCTGACATATGGTAAAGTAACCATATGGGAATATATATATGTATATCGGTGTTTCTGTGTCACTGGTGAAGCTGAGGGAGTGTCTGCCTTACCTCTATTGTTGTTACGGAAGTCTGCCTGTCGGTAAATATGTGTTTGTGTTTATAATAATAATAATAATAATAATAATAATAATAATAATAATAATAATAATAATAATAATAATAATAAAAGTTTATGGCTGAGAAATAGGTAAACAAAGCACTATCTCTCCGATAGTGGTTGGCCCTTGTGTAACGAGGATGGCCGGCCCAAGGGCCACAGAGGCGTGAATTTGTTTAAGGTGTAGAAGCTGTCGCCAAAACAACAACCACACCCTGAGTTAACGAGCTGTGTTACCCAGTGTTAAGGAATAGTCCGAGAAGACCGGACAACTCGCCAACTGCACTGGCTAACCATTACCCCGGAACACGATCCGCAAAACGATTAACATCCAGGTCCCCAATTACTGCTGGGTAGACAGGCAAATGGCGTAAAGAAACTTGACCATAGTTTCACCCTGCCAGGGGATCGAACACGGGTCCGCTCGCTTGCGAGGCGAGGATGCTGACCATTACACTTTACGATACACTGTACGAAACAGTTGATAAAAGTTACAACAATAAAGACCTTTACCACATCACACTAAATGATCCCTTACAATACAAGAACAAATATTACGAATGAATCTAGCGAGACACTAGTGTTATAAATCAGTACCATAACATCACTAGGATAAGGTGAGGTGGCATTTATAATAAGAAAATAAGCAAATATCCCAGTCCCACAACCCGCCTTTCACACCATCACTGTTAGAGTCTGTTCTCTTGTTGTCTGCTCAGTGGTGACTGTTATTAGTATGGTGGGTGGTGTAAGGGGGGTGGTGGTGGTAGTGGTGGTGGTAGGCGTGGTGTGTGGTGGTGATGGTGGGTGGTGGTGTGTGGTGGTGGAGTAAGGTAGTGGGGTGGTGGACTGGTGGTGGGTAGTGGTGGTGGTGTGAGGTAGTGGTGAGGTGGTGTGAGGTAGTAGTGGTGGGTAGTGGTGCCATTTTCTAGTTAACTTTCAGATGGATGAAACGAGACGGAATGGGGCAGGGCTAATGGAGGTGAAACAAGACGGATTATAATGATTAGTGGAGGTGAAGGGGTGAAGGGGAGGGACGGGACACAGCCGGAGGATGGGCAGGGCTGAGGTGGGGCAGCACTAAGGGGGGGGGGGGCAGGGAAGAGGGACGATGACGACAAACAATGCATTATACCTGTGACACACAATACTCTAGGCTCGTCGCAGGAGGTAGTGGGCGTCGTGCTCACAGCCAGGCCTTTGTGTTGTGTTTGTGGCAGCTGACTGGAGACGTAGCCTGTGGTAAACCTGTCAACCCCCATCTCACTCTAATAACTTTACTGTGTAGTGTAAAAGGTGACCGAGCCTTATATCACTGGCCAACCGTAACCTAACCTAATATAACGTCTACACACACAGAGAGAGAGAGAGGAGGGGGCCATAAGGGAGTGTACGGACTATGGGGCGAAACAGCTGGATACCGTCGAAAGAGATCCATCACGCACGAAATATATTACCACCCAGGTCAGGACAGGTAGACCCCATGCTGACTGAACACAGCCCTCAAGAATAACTATACTGAGTGAATTTCTCAGAACATACAGTATACATAAGTCGAACCGTGTATTCAGACATTTCACGAAATATCTGATTTTTTATTTTTTATTTTTTGTTTTTTGTAAAATAGTCAGTCATTTCGTGAAGTGTCTCATTACACCGTTTGACTGTAATATTTATATCAGAACATTACCTATTTCAATAAACAAACTCGGTACACACGACAGAGCCAAGTACACAAACTTAGTACACACGACAGAGCCAAGTACACAAACTTAGTACAAACGACAGAGCCAAGTACACAAACTTAGTACAAACGACAGAGCCAGGTACGTACTGTCCCCAGAGCCAGACGTACTGTAACAGATAATTAGGCACAGTAGGGGGTGGGAGGAAGGAATGTGTTAAATTGGGACGAATATCATCTACATATTAGAGCCATGTTAATACCTGGAAGTGTCTTGAGGGGACGATTTTTATTGCAGTCTCTCAGCCACATAGTGAGGCGAGTGTTTGTAAACGACTGTTAGTGTGTATACTTACGCACAAAAACATTCACAAACACATAGTCATAAGCACCGATCATCTACCCCGAGACATAAACACACACAAGACACATACACAAACGACACACATACACCCAACATACACATGAGAGATAAAGGTGGATAATTAGGGATTGTAGAGTAAAGAGGAAACACACAAACAGAAATGATAAAAGACGTAGAGGCAGGAAAAGAGATGAATGAGAAGATACGACAGACAGACAGACAAGGAAACGCATAGAGGATAGAAAGACATAATAAAAAGGAGATAGAGAGAGAAGGAATGAGAAAGGAAAAAGAAAGAAAAATGAGAATAAGAGGTAAAAATAACATAATGGAAGATAAATGTAGAGAGAAAGAGAGCGAGTGTGAGGTGACCCCAGAAAGCTCTCAGTCCATCACAACAATAGTGTAGGCGGGGTAATTTATTGGTAGTTTCGTGTTACTGACAGCTGAGGCCTGGTGTGTGTGCGCGCGTGTGTGTGTGTGTGTGTGTGTGTGCGTGTGCGTGTGTGTGCGTGTGACTATGAGGGTCATCACCTTTACCCTATAAACCTCATCACCTTCTACCTGACCTTCCTTCCCATACTTCCTTCCCTCCCTCGTCCTTCTTCCTTCTCTCACTCCCTCCCTCCTTTACTCTCCCTGTTCCTTCCTTCTTTGTCACATCATCATCATTGTCTTCATTATATATAAATATATATCCGTATATTGCATAGCTAGTCTCTCTCTCTCCACACACATGCAGGCAGGCCAAAACACATAAATGACACAAAAAAAAACACGTAAGCATTCTCAATCTACCTGAAAGTTAAAACAAAAGGTAAGTTCAGACTCACGCCTTGTCCTTTGTTGTTATGGCTCAGGTGTCGACAGGAAGACCCGTAATTAAGGCATAAAAGCAGAGTAACGAAAGGAAATAAATTGTCATATTGTAGTGTGTTACCTGTTGTTGGTGGTGGGGGGGGGGGGTGTGGCCTTCTGACTGTGTTTACTGGGACACACACACACACACACACACTTTTTCTCTCTGACTCATCCTCAGTTCAACTACTAACTACCAGGAAATTATTTACATAGTTCCATAATAACCTGTCCGTCCGTACCTCCTCGTCCACACCTGTCCACCCACACCTGCCCACCCACACCTGCTCGTCTACACCTGTCCACCCACACTTCCCCTTCCACATCTTTTAGACATTTTTTCTACGTGTGCCATTTCTAGGTGATGTTGGTCGTGTGTGGGAGATGCAGGTAAAGAGGGCGTGTGGTGTGGGGGAGGGGGAGGTGATGGGCGTGGCAGTACAGGAAACGACACGTGGGCGTTCATTCATTAAGAGAGGTGCAGGGAAAGTTGAGGTCCCGCCCAGCTGGTGAAAGTCACATTCCTCTTCCACATTCTCTAATACCAGTGCGTTAATTTTCTTTCTGCCTCAGCGAATATTACTGGAACGCGTCTAGCTATGGTAGAGTCCCGGTGCATTCTCGACGCCATCTAAACTAACCTAACCTAAACCTAACCTAACTTAATGTAACAATAGTGTTTTGTGAACGCCTCTAGCTTCTGTAAAGTCTTAATGTAGTGTAGTCGCCATTTTAACTACCAATCTTCGTGTGTTTTAATTTACCCCAATTAGTGTTACGGGAATATATTTAGTTACGGTAAAGTCTGTATGCCATATTGACGCCATATTGATAATCTGTGTATCGTCGCTTAAATAATATCAGAGAGCTTAGTATGGCGTTGGCAGACAGAGACACAGAAAAGAGATAAAAGAGAGAGAGAGGAAGAAGAAGAGAGAGAGAGAGAGAGAGAGAGAGAGAGAGAGAGAGAGAGAGAGAGAGAGAGAGAGAGAGAGAGAGAGAGATCACCCAACTCATTTCCCCACCAGTTTAAAACCACACCTCTTATAAACACTGAGTAGCGTTAACGTAATTATCATCTGCTGGAGAAATTACTTGCAATGGCCTGAAAAACTATCGGTCCATAGACAGATAATGACAGATAATAGGAGGTGTAGGCCAGTGATGATATTGACAGGACATGGTGGAGAGACGGAGAGACAGAAATAAAATAGCCGCCAGTTCTGTAGTAGACAATAGTTTGTTTATAGTAGACAGCTGATTATGTTCATCCTCGGTGTTGTTCTATTCCATGGTGATTAATAAATGGTTAAATACAACAATAATATATCAAATTTATAATATTTCTTGAATTATCGATGAAATTACAGAAAGAAATGAAGAATTTGGAAAAAAAAAATATGATGCTTTAATATGTACTCCACCACACACACACACATACACATACAGGTACATTGTAAATTTTATCAAACGAAATCACAGTAGTTAATCTGTGTACTATTGCCGAACATCTGACAGCTGTACCGGGTAAACGATAACAGTTGGTAA